ATTTTTGGCTATTGCTACAAATATACCCCAGCGACTTAAGACTGCTTTTGTGCTCCAGGGTCACAAATATTAAATATACAACCCAAGTTAATTTCTGATCTCGATCTGCTCACCTTCATTTCTCATGAACCCTGTAAGATGTTCAACTTTTCAACTTAAATGTCATCCTGTTCCTCTCTCAAAACTGCTTTTGAGCACGAGTAGTACAAGTACAACGGCGAGAGTGTGTGCATTACCATCTCCACCACCTCCACTGCGGCGTCTATGCGCAGGTGATACAGGAAGGTTTACCCAGCACTGGGTTGCATTTAACCCAGCATTTTTTAGAGTGTAATAATAATGAGAGCTAAGGCCCCGCCCACATGCAGTGATGTCATGCATAATGAGATTCAACATCCAGCCTTGCAGTTCATTTGCATTTTTATACTGTGATGTAATATTATTACATTAAAGAGATATTTTCCATAAAGTACAGATAAATATGGAAGTTAAAGTATTTTTACACTTTAGTATGAAAAGTATCCAGCCAAAACATCAAATACTTGTTTAAACTTTCTAAGCTTTTAAAATGGAATGATGGCTTTTGACATTAACTTTGATGCACAAGTTTGTAAAGCAACATGTTTAATCATGAGTAGAGGTTGACGGTGAATGTTGTACCTCACGTTCACGCTCAGTCTTGGTGAGGTTGATCTGCTTCAGGATCTGAGATCTCTGCTCCATCATCAGGGTCTTCTCATACGTGTACGCCGAGATATCGCTGTCATGCTGAAGATACAGTGAGACAATGGTTTTCAACAGTTCTCACAGAGGCACTCACAGAACTGTACAGAAACAGCCAGAAAACAAAGAAAACATAGTCTACAGTTCAGTAAGGAATCGTTCACCCAAATATAAATATTTGTCATCATCTGCAGCTACTTTTTCTGAAAATTCAAACCTAAATTAAAAATAGAAGAAGAAGAATAAAAAGTAAAACAATAAAAGTAGCTGTAAATGATGACAATTTTAAAATAATTTGTCTTATATATATATATATATATTACAATAGTTAAAAATTATATATATATATATAAATTATGAAATAAAAATAATAAACAATAAAATTAAATAATCACAATAATGATAATAAATGAGATTATGATTACAATCACAATGACAATGCTTAATAATGAATAATATTAAATAATAAATCATTATTAAATTAAAATTACTAATAAAAATAAAATTCAAAAATATTTCATTTATTGACAATTACTTTAATTTTAATTATATTTCATTATATTTATTACGATCACAATGAAGCTGACAATGCTTTATAATGAATAATATTAAATCATAAATCATTATTAAATTAAAATAATGGTTACACTTTAGAACACATATTCACTGTTAATTTTCCCTCAATAAATTGCTAATTTGCTGCTTATTAATAGTTAGTAAGGTAGTTGTTAAAGTTTAGGTATGGGGTAGAATTAAGGGATCTAAAATATGATCATGCAAGATAAGGCATTCATATGTGCTTTATAAGTACTAATAAACAGCCAGTATGCTAGTAATATGCATGCTAATAAGCAGCTAGTTAATAGTGAGAATTGGTCCTTAAAATAATAAAAAGTAATTTATTTATTGACAGATTACTTTCATTTTAATTATATTTCATTGTTTTGACTTTTAGAATTAAATTAAAAGACAAGTTATAAAACTAAATAAAACTGCAATTAATATTTACCATATTACCACATTAAAATGAAATTTATTCTCATTAAAATAAGTAATAAATGTCAAATAAATAATTTGTTTATTTACCATCACAAGTTGTTTTATTATAATTTTTCATAAAAAAAAAAATAAAAACAATGAATTAAGATACAAATTAAATAATTAAAATAACATTTATTATAACTACAAATATTTAAAATAAATGGCTTTTGAGAGATGAGAGAGAGAGAGAGAGAGAGAGAGAGAGAGAGAGAGAGCTGGATTCTGCCGTGTCCATTACTCTGAAAGGCATCACATAAACACTGATATCAGACAAAACGGTCAAGCTGAGATCACAGCATCAACACAAGCCATGTGGCTGTTATTGCCATGTAAGATGAAAGCTGGCTCGGTCCGTCATGCTGTACCTCCTCTTCTGGTTTCTCCTCTTTGCTGCTGGCCGCTGGTTCCTCAGTCACACTCAGCTGGGTTGTGACGGCGGCTGGGTTCTTACGGCGGATCGACCCACGAGAGCTGTCAGTGATGCTCTGGATCTGAAGGGAGAGGAACGATGGTACACTCTAAAAAATGCTGGGTTAAATGCTGCTCACCTTCATTTCTCATGAACCCTGTAAGATGTTCAACTTTTCAACTTAAATGTCATCCTGTTCCTCTCTCAAAACTGCTTTTGAGCACGAGTAGTACAAGTACAACGGCGAGAGTGTGTGCATTACCATCTCCACCACCTCCACTGCGGCGTCTATGCGCAGGTGATACAGGAAGGTTGTCAGATCCTTCTTCATCTGGATGCTGTTATCGTCCATCTGGGCCACAGTGAAGATGCGCATCTTGCACTTCCTCCAAACCTACAGAACATCATCCACAGATATCAACATGTGAGCTGCAGTCACTTAACTATGCGTCATTCTGATAGAAATGAAGAGTTAAAGCACATACCTTGTGCTGGCGGAGGAGGAACGGTAGCAGCATCAGCATGCCTCCATCATGTACGATCCACCACACATCAATTTGACCCTCTGTGAAGCGCTCTCCGTTTGACGGGAAGGCAGAGATGTTCTTGGGCACCAGCAGGGCTTTACTGGCAGCAGTGGTTTCTCTTACCAGCTCTGTAATGAAGGCACGGTTATATTTATTACTTACGCTCACGAATGTATTATTTTTACTGATTTGAGACTTTTTTTTTATGGTGTTTCATAATGTGAAGCTGTTTTTGCACTGATTTCAGACTTATCATTAATTTCTTATGCATAATCTAGGTTTTCAGCTTGTATCCTTTAAGTTCCAAATACAAATAATTTTTTTCAATAAAAATATTTAATTATATGTAGCAAAATATATAAAACATTTTTGGAATTAAATATTATTAATTGTATTAAATTCTTTGGATTTATATTTAATTCTACAAAGAACTATGAAGAGTATTTTTCCATCGCTGATCCAAGAGTAAATAGGAAAGTTATGTAAATGCTGGTCAAAACGTTAAATAGATGAATTGTGTACAATAAGACTAAGAGAAAATAAATAGAAATATATTTAGGAATACATGTATAGTGACTTATAATTATAGGAATAATTGAATAATATAATTAAAACAATAGCTTAAAATAAAAATTAGAATTAATTTATGTAAATGTGAATCTATTTCGGATGTAGTAATATAAATAAATGTATACTTTTAAATATGCGTATTGACATAATTGTAAGAATAACTGAATAAAATAGTTTAGATCTTGCAATTCTGACTTTTTTTCTCCCAGAATTGCAGGATATAAACTCAGAATTGTGAGGAATAAACTGAGAAAAAAAGTCAGAATTGTAAGATTCTGTTTGTGATATTTTTTATACCTCACATTTTTTCCCCCTCAGAATTCTCAGTTTATTATTTTGCATTGTTTTCTGCCACAGAATAAAAAAAATGTAATTGTGACATTTTACCTCACAATTCTGACTTTTTTCTCACAATTGTGAATTTACAGTATATCTCACAATTATATTTTATTTCTATTTCACAATTCTCAAAGTTATTTTTCAAGATTGGTGATTGGTAAATAAATAAATAGAACGATCCAACTAATCAAGTCTTTCAGGCTTATTTGAAAACCTTATGAGGAAAGTAAAGGTTCAATGGTTGTTAATCATCATCAATCATCAGTGCCAATACAGAACCTTTAAATAAGAGTGAATTGGAAGAAATGTCTCTCACCAATGAAGTTTCTCCAGTTCTGATGATCCTCAGCCTGTTTCCAGTTGCGGGGCCAGCAGGCCAGTACGGTGTTGTGTAGAAGACCTCCCAAACCTCCGGCCTGGACCAAATGTGACGTGGCGTCCCTCATGTTAGAAGAGATGACCACCTGACAGAAACCCTTCACCTTCTCCGCCTCCATGAGCTTCCTCAGAGACTTTGAGACACAAAACAAAGTTTACCCAAGTAAATATCACAATTAAGTTCCAACGTATGCTGTCTAAGTAGTGGATATCTCACTAGCCTTGTTGTGTCTGTGTTTGTGTGAATGTCACCTGTTCGGCCTGCTGTCCTTGAGGATGGTTTTCCAGGTAGGTTCCCTCCAGTGCTGTGCCCACGATGGTCAGACCCTTCCCAGCCTTCAGCTGATTGGTCAGAGACAGCAAACGCGGCTGCTCCACATTCAGCTCAGAATCCATGCTGACCAGGACTAATATCTGAGGCCTGAGGAGAGCCAAATACAGGAGAGAGTAGAGGTCAAAACTTAAAGAAGATTACATGTGCACAATAAGGTTAATAATATAAATACTGTACCTTTCAAATTCATTATAAATATGTATAAATATAAATGTAGTAAATAGAAATATCTACATAATTAAAATATATTAATATATTTTAGAAACATATATATATCAGAATCAGAATCAGAATGAGCTTTATTGCCAGGTATGTTTACACATACGAGGAATTAGTTTTCGTGACAGAAGCTTCCGCAGTGTAACAGAATGACAGTGACAGAACAAAAAACACAGATAAAACAAAAAATAAATAAATAAAATAGAACAAGTAAATAAGGAATAAAAATATATAAATCGACAATTGTATGTGCAGGTATATTACAATAGACAGTTTTTGTATGTACAGGTACTGTATATTATGTGCAAATTTAGGTGTAGACTGAGTATGAGTGTTAGATAAATAAGTGTATGAGTGTATAAATAGTGTGTGTTCCACAGTTATTCAGCCAGGTTTCCGTGAAACACAGAGCAGCAGAGTTTGAAAATCCTTATTTGTCCGGGAGAGCAGAAGGAGTTCGTCTGTTTTGTTGGGTAGAGAGCGGAGGTTCGCCAGATGGATGCTCGGCAACGGCGTTCTGAATCCGCGCTGCCTGAGCTTCACGAGCGCGCCGGCTCGCTTCCCCCGTCTGCTCGTCCTGAAGCATCTGAACAGCGCCGCAGCTCCGCCGACAACAATGTCCAGCAAAACATCAGAATAATCGAAAACCGGTGAAATATCGGGTGGTGTGTACTTCCGAATGTCCAGCAATTTGTCTCTGTTGAAACTGATAGCAGGGATATAACTAAAGACAGGACAAACTAACAAAAACATAAAAACAACTACGGAGCACGCCACGGAGGCAGCCATCAGCGTCGGCACCATCTTCGATCATTTATATTATATATATATATATATGTACAGCTAAATATAGGTATGAGCATAAATATTTTTACATATAAATATATTAATATAAATAATATAAATATTTTTAATATACACATGCATCGTGGTACTCTTGTGAATGGCGGCGGACGCTGACACGAAGGAGAAGAATTGTTGAACAAAGTCATTATTTTTGTTTTCTTTGCACACAGAAAGTATTCTCGTAACTTCATAAGATTACGGTTGAGCCACTGATGTCACATGGACTATTGTAACGATGTTCTTACTACCTTTCTGGGCCTGGGAACGTTTCAGTTGTGTTGCTGTCTATGGGAGGGTCAGACAGCTCTCAGATTCCATCAAACATATCTTAATTTGTGTTCCGAAGATGAACGAAGGTCTTACGGGTTTGGAACGACATGAGGGTGAGTAATTAATGACAGAATTTTCATTTTTGAGTGAACTATCCCTTTAATTAATAGTTATAGTAACAGCTTTGTTTTTAAGTTTAGTTTTTAACATTTTAGTAATTTTTGTTATGTTTTTTTTTTATATTTAGCTTTAATAAATTTTTATTTCAGTCTTTGTTTTACTAATTTTAGTTTTTCAACTTATTTTACTCAACATATTTTTCCAACATATTTTATTCCAGTTAGCTGACAAGGAAACATTTCCATTTACGTTTTTTTTTTTAAGTTTAGCTTTTGAGTTAATATTTTTTATTTTATTTTATTTTATATTTTAATTTATATACACACACACACACACACACACACACACACACACAAACTAGTAATATAAATATATAAATGATACAATTATACCGGTATACAGTATTTCTAATAAAATTATATATATGTAATCTGTACGTATTTGCACTCACCTCCAGTTCTTGGTGTGTGGTGGTCCCTCTTCCAGCCTCATAAGGGCGAACCGGGCCGCGCTGAGAGACAGACCTCTTATTCCATCACCCCATTCCTTTTCCGCCCTGTCAGCACAGACAAACACACATCTTTTTCACACACTCTGTTTATGTTCAGAAAGCCATTCTAACAAATTACTGCATATATATCCACAGTCATAAGCACCGATTTATGTTTCTGCCGGTGGGTGTCCACTCTCCATACCAAGTGTGTAACAGATGCCTTGTAGACGCAAACAGGGATAAAAGTATTTGTGTGTGTGTTTTCTTATAATAAAGTTAACATTGGCTGCATATCACGTTATTTATTACTTATGAGAGCTGTTGAACCCAGAAATTCACATCAGAGCATGCCAAGTCAGCATGCTCCAGTTTTTCAAATAAAACCAAATAATTCACACGTAAGATGAAATCAGATGCACAAGTATATTGGATGAAGTCCTTGTACATGAAGCATAGATGTTTGCTCTAGCTGTAGATACAGATTTACTGAGGAAATTAACAAATATCCTGCTATTTTTTTCCGACTTTAAAGCATACTGCCATATAAAACTCCACATGATCCCTGTAAATTGGAGCTACTGTTAATGAAAACTGGCCGAACATGTAGGTTTATTCGTAAAGTCTTTTTATTTAATGTTGAAATGGAAATCACGCAAGTATGAAATAAATGGTCAGTATCATAAATAACGGCTAGTCTGATTTGACTCTTACATTTTTTGTTTTCCATTGCTGCTCGTGCTTTTGCCTGTAGTATATTGTATGTATATTGTGTTGCATGCTATATTTTGGATCGCATGCAATTCCTTGATGACCTAGTACATCTGGCAACATGCACATTATACAACAAAGCACCTTGTGCTGGGTACTGTATCCCACAATGCAATGCACACAATTTGACTTTGCATTTTGACAATTTTTTTGACTAATATTTGTTTAAAATGATGACTATGACATATGCATACTGCTATTTAAATTGCTTCTGTTTTTAAGTATACAGTATATACTGCGCAGTATGCAGTAAGTATTCAAATCCGCACACAGCCTCAGACTCCATAATCCTGCCGCCACTTTTCTCCTCCTCTTTAATTTCCGGCGACAGATGCGGGTCACTGTTCGGCTTGACTCTGGAAGTGTTTCCAAAGGAAAGGCACTAAACTAATCAATCCCTGGAGTAGATTTCAGCTGTTCTTGGCCCGTCGGATTACGAGGGATCCTGACAGGTCAAACGCCTAAAACTCAATTCTAATCCATCGTCTTGGTTTTGCGCCCCGACTCCGGGTCACAATCCACTTACCCTCGGAACTCGATATACTTGTAGATACAGCCGGCGATTCCCATGGCAACGATGGCGTAGTACCAAGAACAGATGAACATGAGCGAGAGACAGAGGCTCATGCCAAGGAAGGATAGAGTCCTGTTGGAAAACAGGAAGCAAACATTAGTGTACAAATACGAATAAATTCACAGCAAAGGGCAAGAGGCGACGCTCTGAAGGTCACCAGTGGTAGAACTTGAACCGCGGCCTCCAGTTGGGCGTTCTGAGCAGAGTCTGAACAGCACAGGCCAGATTCACAAACATGTAGCACATGAGGAAAAACCTGCAGCCACACGAGAGAAACAAACACAATAATGTCAATAAACAGAAACGGATACCCGGGATTATGTCTCAAATGTTTGGACCCTTAAACCACACTTAAAATGTCTGAATGTAATTGTGTTAAAAAGTGATTGTTAAAAATACTGAACTAAATAACATTTATTTAAAAAAATGTCCAAACACACTTTTCAAGCAAAAAAAAAAAAAAATAAAAAAAAAAAAGGGCTGCGTACTAAAAGATGAAAAAATGTAATGAAGTATTAATGTTAACTAAAACTAAAGCTTAAACTATTAAAAATCAGTTTGGTTAATTGAAATAAATATTTTAATATTATTTATATACTATTATAGTATTTAATAATATTTTGAATTAGCTTTTATTTTCATATTTTCCATTTTCTATTTAGTTTGTTTTATTAATTCTGTTAAATATTATTTATGTTTGTTAAATATATTAATATAAATGTCATATATATATATATATATACAACATAATTATATTAATAGTTAATTAATATTATTGATAGTTTTGATTTTAATTTCAAGTTTTACATTTCTGTTATTTATTTTTGTTATATATGTGTGTGTTTTAATATTTCTATTTACCTTTAATTAATTTTTTATTTTGTTCTTAGTTTTAGTAATATAAAAAAAAAAAAATATATAATTTTATATGACATAATTATATTAATAGTTAACAGTTATATTAGTTTACATTTCAGTTATTGTTTGTGTTTTTTTTTTAAATTTCTATTTACCTTTCATTTATATTTTAATTCAGTCTTTATTTCAGTTTGAGCAATTTTAGTTCTTTAACTTATTTTAATCCAACATATTCTTCAACTTACTTTATTCCAGATATCTGACAAGGCAACATTTCCATTTAAGTCTTTTAAGTTTAGGTTTTCATGTAATATTTATATATATATTTTATTTCAACTTTATTTCCATTAAAAAGGTTTTAGTTTTAATTTTAGTTAATAATAACAACACTGATGGATTGATGTAAATTTGTATTACCTAATGCAATGACATTCAGTCATTTTTATGTGTGACTTAAATGTGCAAACACTTTCTAAGGCTGATGTATATCTGTATGGCCTCTTACATGGAGAGAATCGGAGCGACGTTATCCAGAGAAGCGATGAGAATCCCACTCTCACAGATACATGCGGTCAGGAGCAACGCCCAGGTGGGCTCCCCGTTTGCTTTTCCATTACCAAACACCTGCAACACACACACACACACACACATACATTCATCACCAAATATGCGACGCCATTAAAACAATCCCAAATAAACACACAGGAGAAGCACCATTAAACACAATCAGAGAAGTGTTTCGGAGTTCATCTTCTGCAGTGTGTGCTTTGAAAGGTTTCAGATTCACTGTGTAACACATTAATTCAAGTACTTTACTATAGTATGGCACACACACACACTCATACGCACGCGCGCACACACACACACACTCATATACACACACACACACACACATGCTGTGTTTCCATGTTTTATGGGGACATTCCATAGGCGTAATGGTTTTTATACTGTACAAACTGTATGTGCTATTGCCCTACACCAACCCTACACCTAAACCTACCCCTTACAGGAAACTTTGTGCATTTTTACTTTCTCAAAAAAACTCATTCTGTATGATTTATAAGCTTGTTTCCTCACGGGGACCTCAAAAATGTCCCCACAAGGATAGTAATACTAGTCAATTTTGACCTTGTGGGGACATTTGGTCCCCATAACGTGATAAATACCAGGTACACACACACACACACACACACACACACACACACACACGTTCATGAACAGCTAAAAACAAGGTCAGCGCTGGCAGCTCTTGGCATGAGTTAGCTGCAATGTGATTCTGACTTTATGCTGAAAGTCAAAGACTAAACACTCATCATGTGTGCACACTCACCCTGAGGAACGGCACGATGCCGTCTCGTGCGATGGCCTGCATGAGACGCGGAGCGCCCGTCAAGCTCTGAAGCCCCGCACCGCAGGTGGAGAAGAAGGAACCGAAGACGATGACCCAGGGCGAAGGCCACGCCAGTGTCCCGATCACCAGATTCCCCCTGACCGCCTCACCAAACCTGAAATACACAAACATACACAAAGAATTATGCTACCTCTCACTAGTTTGAGGTTTTATTCAATAAGGAAGCATTAAATTGATCAAAAATGACAGTAAAGACATGTTACAAACAAATTTCTATTTCAAATAAATGCTGTTCTTTTCAACTTTCTGTTCATCAAAGAATCCTGAAGAATGAAAAAAAACTATGATTTCCACAAAAATATTGCGCAGCACAACTGTTTTCATCATTGCTAATAATCAGAAATGTCTCTTGAGCAGCAAATCAGCATATTAGAATGATTTCTGAAGATCATGTGAAACTGAAGACTGGAGTGAATTCAGCTTTGCATCACAGAAATAAATTACATTTGACATTTTATATTCAAATAAAAAAACGTAACTATAAACTGTAATAATATTTCACAATATTACTGTTTTTACTGTATTTTTGATCAAATAAACGCAGCCTTGGTGAGAATAAGAGACGTCTTTTAAAAAACATTAATAATCGAACCAACCCTAAACATTTAAAATCTAGTGTATTTTTTCATGCATTAAATCACTTGACATATTTATACATATTTATAAGTTACAAGAGACATTTTAAACACATAACATACTTATCCCTCAGCACCGTTCCCTCGATGCAGGAACCAAACAGAAGCACACTAGACATGTCTGAATATTTCAGTTAAAGAACGTTGTTTTTTTTTGATAAACATTTACTCTATCAGTAGGTTTGAGTGTTTTGAAGTCTTTTAGCTTCTCCATGGAATGATTCCTAGGCTTATTATTAGAATTGAGAAGACTGATTCATTTTAATGATTTGGTTAATTTGGGCAGTTCGTTCCAATGAACTGGTTCAAAAACTTACCAACTACTAACTTCATTTTGCAAGAGACTCTTTGAAAATTGATTCGATTGAATCACTAAAATTAGTCATTTGATATTTGATCACTAATATCATAAACTGTATTGCTGGTAGGGTGTTATATCAGACTGTGTCCAGCAGGTGGAGCGCTGTGTGTGTTTCTATCTGAGAAGATACAGATGATGGAGGTGGTGGTGATGGCCAGGATGGTGCCGATGGGAATGGACTTCTGGGCATCCTGCAAATCACCGGATCGGTTTGATCCAGCCATGATACCTGTTCAAAACAAGACAGACCATAGAATGGCTACAATGTTTGCTCACTACATCATTCCCGTACTTCCATTTGGGTTATTTCCTAGTTTTGATGAGTTTACTTGTATTCTAAAATGTGGAATTCTTTATACAGTCTTAAAAAAACAAAGGTTCATTTTAGCATTTATTGTTCCATTTTAACATTCATGAAACCTTTCCATTGCACAAAAGGTTTATTACAGTGGAAAAAAGATTCGTTTGATTATTAAAATGTTCTTTATATTTAACAAAATGGTTGTAAAGAGGATTCTTGAGGAAAATGGTTCTTCTTTGACATTGCTTTTGGAACCTTTATTTTTAAGAACATAGATTATTCTTATGCATGCTGATCCACAAGGTTAATTTTCATAATCAGAAATGATGGCTGAGATCAGGGCTGTCAAGAGAAGACTTTACCTGTCACGGAGGGGAAGTAGATGCCCACCAGCATGGTAAAGAAGCTGGTGACGTCGGCAAGCACGTAGCGGTTGGTGTTGGTCGGTATGGAATCGGGTTCATCCACGGAGGGTAATCCCAGCTTCTCAATAAACGCTCCCTTATCCATATAATTCCCAAAGAGATTATCTGGAAGAGAGAGAGCGAGAAACAGGGAAACAAAGAGAGAGAATATGAGAAATAGAGGCTTAGAGGCTTGTTCAGATCACTAACACTAAATATGAGCAATATTAATAGCAATGGTTACCTGACACAGAGGAAAAGTTTGTATTTGAAAAAATAATATTTTATACTATACAATTATATTATACAAAAGCTCATAGATAAAAGTGAATATCTTCTGTTTGGGGTCGGTAAGATTTTTAATGTTTGTGAAAGATGTTTCTTATGCTCATCAACCAATATGGAAATTTTTTTTTTAAATACATGCTAAATATATGTTGTAAACCATGTTTGAATTGAAAATATATCTACTTTCAATGTTCACATACCAAAATATATTTCAAATTCTATTTCAGGGGCAAGAAAATACATTTCCGATCTCACAGCAGCCTACATTTTATATTCATTCATTGTTTATTCAAATGTGTTATATGTTCACACGTGTTATAGGCAACAAAAAGATTTTCTTCAAATGTGACATATGTGAATGTGTTTTCTTGGACTGAAATATTATGGATGGTAAAATACATATTTTAAATGCTTTTAAAAAATACATTTATATTTTTAAAATATATTTTCAACAATGACCAAAAAATACTTTGGTAGAAAATGAATTTACATACATATATTTTGAAAAATATTTTAAGCAAATATATTTTAGGCCATTTTTTTTGTATATTACGAAATATATTTAAAAACACATTTGAAAAAAATGTCTTTTTTTGCCCTATGGCTGCATTTATTAAAAACTGTAATATTGTGAAACATTCTTATAATTTGAAATAACTCTTTTCTATTTGAAAGTATTTTAAAATGTAATTTATTTCTGTGATCAAAGCTGAAGTTCCTTCAGAAATCATTCTAATCTGCTGATTTGCAGCTCAAGAAAGATTTCTGATTGTGAATGTTGAAAACAGTTGAGTCTTTGATGAATAGAAAGTTCAAAAGAACAGCATTTATTTGAAAATAAATCTTTTGTAACATTATAAATGTCACTTTTATTCTATTTGCAATACATTCTTGCTGAATAAAAGTGTTAATTTATTTCTTAATAATATATATATATATATATATATACACTGTATATACAGTATATAGAATGTCATTTTGTGGCTGTATTTACCACGCAGGATACCACTCATGATTCCGGGGATTCCCTGTATTTCCGTGATGTTGTTGTTGGTGAAATAGCTGTCACAGGTGGCGTTCAGGAACTCAGAGTCGCAGAAGAGCCGCCAGAGTTTGGTGGTGACCGTGGCGTTTTCTCTCTCGATGACCTTCGCACACACATCGAAGCCTTTCCAAACCAGAGTCCGGTTTCCCAGCACACACACTCTGTGGAAATCATTTCAAACAAAATCATTTCTAAACAACAAAAAAATGACAGCTTCAGGGTTCCCACACCTTGGTTAACTTAAAATTCAATGAGCTTTCAAGGACTTTCCAGGTCCAATACCCTCAAATTCAAGGACATAATGTGGGGACACATTTCAAGTGAGAGCAAGTTTCATCGTGTTTCCTTGTAAGATACATCGTTACAGTTTTCATGTGTCAAACACAACTATGCAAAAAAGCTTTTTTTTTGTTGCATTTACATATTTTTAAGTTTTAAAATATATGAATATGCTTTTAAGTTTTTCTTGCCTCATGGGTTTACATTATCTTAACAAGCAAAGCAATTCAACATTAATTTCATGGTGTGTCTTTGAAACGTTGAGGTACCATCGCAGTAGTTTCGTGCGCGCGTGAACGTCATGGCAACGTACAACACAAAGTACCTCACGCGGGAAACATTTAACGTAACGCGTAAATGCGCGTAACTAACGTAAATCAAGCAAGCTAGTATGCATAGGCCACGAAATGTTGGAGAAATAACACATTAGTGGACCAGAGGGAATAATATGGAATTTTTTCCAGAAAACTTCTTGCACAAAATAAGTTCAAGCACTTTCAAGGACCTGTATCTATGTATGTTGATTTTCAAAAACTTTCCAGGGCCTTGAAATTTCTTTTTTCAGATTCACAAACTTTCAAGGATTTCAAGGACCCGTGGGAACCCTGGTTAGCGTAGAGTATGTTTCTGGTCCTGGTATGTGTGACTGTAATATTGCTGAGGCACATACGGGAAGACCGGAGGCTCGAAGGCGGTTTTGATCACTCCAGCGTAGACGGCGAGGATCGAGCAGATGACACAGGCGAGGAAGACGAGCGCCAGCTTGTTCACGTACTTCACTCCTACAAACACCACAATGGCCATGAAGCTGAGCACCAGCGTGCCGTAAACACGCATGTTGTTCAGCATGGCGGCCTCGGCCTCGGCTCCCTCCAGACCCTCCATCTTAAAAACAGCCGCTTGTGGTACGATGTACACCTGAGATAGGAGGGGAAAATAAGGTGCAAGGAGGAAAAATTAATTGAAAGGATAAAAGGGAACCAAAAAGAAAAATAATTAGGCCAATCAATATTCTGTGATAAAATAACTTAAAATTACTGATGCCATACGCCTTCTGCCATTATAAATTGATTAAATTAGAAATATATACTATATACCTGTGCTTTTCCTACCAAACTGATTCAGTTTACCTTTATTTCAATCCATACAATAACCAAATGAACTATGTTTCACATCAATCTTTCTAACAAACTTGCTGGTGAAGACTTAAAGGCGTAGGGCCCTATTTTAATGATCTAAGCGCATGGTCTAAAGCACACGGCGCAGGTGCACTCAGGGTGTGTCCGAATCCACTTTTGCTAGTTTAACGACGGGAAAACGGTCGGTGCGCCCGGCGCGTGGTCAAAAAGGGTTGTCCCTATTCTCTTAATGAGTAATGGGTTTGTTTTGGGCGTAACGTGCCATAAACCAATCAGAGTGTCATCTCCCATCCCCTTTAAAAGCCAGTTGCGCTCGCGCCATGGCGGGTTCGCTATTCACATGGCGGAATAAAATTTTTTATTTTTTTAAATGTTTGTGTGCTGCTGTGCGTCCCTGTGTGTGTAATAAGCAAAGTGTACGCGCATTGTGCACCCGTCTATAGGCGCATATTACTAACGCACTCTTTAAATAACAAAGAAAAAATATTGTGCCAGACTTTAGACCAGGTTTGAGTTTGAGGTCTATGGCCGCAGTCTATTTTCAGTTCCTCAAAATAGCAACACGCCAACAATGCGCCTGAACACACCTCTTTTTCAGACCAGCACGACCATGGGTGCACAAATGGGCGCAAATGCATTTGCTATTTAAACAACGCGGCGCAGGACGGGAAAATGAGAACTGCGTCGGGCTGAAACTAGCAAAAACACTTGCGCCGGGTGTATGATAGGGCCCTTAGACTAATGTTTATAACAGAAACTGCACACTCAAACATAATACAGAAACAAGATTGGAGAGGGTTAAAGGTCAGAATATCAGAAAAAGAGTGTACAATTGATAAAAACAAACCTCATCAAACAAACAAGATGAATCTAAAAAGAAGCCTAAAACTACAAAAAAGAGCCAAAGAAGAGCAAACAGACAAAGAGGGACAAAATAATGAGAGATGAGTGAGATTCACAATGACACAGGCGGTAAAACAGACTAGTGTGAGTTCAGTTCTAAGCGCTAATTGAACTAGTCAAGCGTGGAATTAATACTGCAAATGGCCCGCCATTAGTCCTTATTAGAGGCCTGACCTAAATTACATTCAATGCCATAAACTTTTGGGTGCCTATGGTCCGTTTCACCACTCTAAGCACAATATATTGCATCATTCATAAATCTGTTGAAGGATTTTCCCTTTATAAGAAGGATAAAAGTGAGAAATTATTAGGAATCTTATGCAATCTGTCAAGATCATGTCTGAGTCATAATTCACCTCAAAAAAGAATAATATAATATAATATAATATAATATAATATAATATAATATTACAGTCACCCAACAAACACACTGTCCCTTATAAATAAATGAAAAAACACTAATAACAGGTAGCATTACACATTATTTTCTTTCGTAAAATTGTTAAAAATGTCAGAATTCACTGCAGTATTTGTTACATGGTCCATGTTTACATTACAGTGCAAAATTAGTTTCCTCTGTTGTATAGAGATGATAATGAACTTGAAAGACTGACACCAGTGTAGGTGTTCAGCTACATCCAATTGTCTTGAAAGTATTTATATATATCTTTTAAAGATTTACAATGTTCCAGTATTGTATTGCTGTAGAAATGTAGCAAATTTCTGTCTTACTCAGTTTTGTCTTTTCTTTTAGAACTTAAGCTTACAAAACAGTTAAAAAAAAAAAGAATTCATGGAATTTGATATCTGATATCAGAGTAGTCAATGAATGCCTTTTGTGCCAAAGCAATGACTACATAGACTGCTGTTGTGCTCACTGTGTGAAGAGTTTTGGTCCTTGGCAGTTTTTTAACGCATAATTATGTCTCATTACTCATTCTTGTGTCTCTCCATGAAAGGACCATTTTGACTGTTCACACTGCACTTTTCCATACAATGAAAGCATACTGTGTTCAGGAGCACCATGAATAACTGAATAAATGAAGCATCATAAAAGTAGTCCATACAACTTGCCCTCCAGCATAGCTGTCAAATCTCATTCATGCTTCTGCATATTAAACTTGGTGCAGCACAGTACATGCAGTACTTGGAAAGATCATGATTTTGCTTTGTTAAAAAAAAGATTAGAATAGCTAATCTTTTTTTTTTTACTTTATAATGTTTTTTGTAAAGTTTTTGCAAGTAAATCTGTTTTTACCCAAAGTATTGAAATACATTAATATTTAGCAATATATTTTAATTATTTATTATTTTTTGATATTGCTGATATTGCTTCATATTTTTTCTAAATAATATTTAATAAAATACGAGTTAAAGGGATAGTTGTCATAATTTGAAAATTATGCATTTTGAAGAATGGTTTTGATTACCATTGACTTCCATGGTATGGACAAAAAACCAAACAATGGAAGTCAATGGGAACCGAAACTGACTATACCTTTATAAGAAACACATTTCTGGTTTGGTCTAGATGAAAGGGTAATTTAACTTGAATAAAAGATTAAATTTTGATTTGTTTCTCTCACAAATCATTCAGCATGGCTTCAGAAGACATTTTAATATAAAGCATAAGTATGGACTACTTTTATGATGCTTTATGTCTTTTTGTGATATTTTCGGCGCACTGGTAACTGTATTATTTTGTGCAGCCTGGACATTCAGCTAAACTTCTCCTTCTGTTCTCCACAAATACGTATTTGAAATGACATGAGGCTGAACTGAAACTATTTTATCAAAAGACTTTTATTCTTTAAATCAACCAAAGAAATGCATGAACACAACATTACTGGCAGCGAAGGACCCGTTCTAAACTGCCTTCAAAAATCAACTAGATTAAGACGTTTTAGTAGTCAGCATGTTATGCAAAGACACTGAAATCATATGTGTCTAGATGCATTTTTTAAAAAGTTTATTTCATTTCTTCTCTTGTTATTATTCTCTTGTTCTACTTTCCTCTCCACCTGTTAGAGTGAGTAATTAAGTAATTATGCAGACTCTGCGTTTAATTGCGCCGCAAAAAGTTTATTTCATTTCTTCTCTTGTTATTATTCTCTTGTTCTGCTTTCCTCTCCACCTGTTAGAGTGAGTAATTAAGTAATTATGCAGACTCTGCGTTTAATTGCGCCGCTGATGATGAGCGCTAGCGTGTCCTCGGAGCCTCGCTCGTCTCGTGTTTTCGGCTGCTCATGTATTTTCTTTCATATTGCTGATCGGGGGCTTGAGTCTGTCTGACTTCTGGGTTAATTCTTTCTTCCGGGGGAACATTGGCTTAGCTCCCATTGTCTGTGCAAAATCTTCCTCAGACTCGGAGATCGGCAGGTACGCAGCATGCTGGTTTGAGCGAGAGTTTTATCCAGCCTACAGTTCAGAAGGACACTAAGACGTCTATTTAAAGTGAGCTGGCGCTTTGAGATTAAAGCCGTATTGTGTAACCCGGCAGATATTATAAAAACGAACAGGTCACCATAGCGACTAGCTGATCAGATGTGTGTGTTTCATCAATTCAGCAACACTTATTTGCTTCCTTCATGCAGATCACGCAGTCTGTGAAGAACACTGAATCCTGAGGGAACACCACTGGTTGATTAAAAACAATAATAAAAAAAAAATAATAATAATAATAACAACAAATAATAATAATAAAAAAAAATATTTCAACATTTATAAAAATCTAAATAAAATTTGTATTAATATATAATTTTTAATCTACTATATGGTTTATATGACTTAAAATTGTAAATATATTGAATATTGTTTGTATATCCATTAGCAACCCTGCATATTTATTTAATGGCAAAAATGGGTGAATCTTAGGAAAACATGTCTGGGTCATCTGAAAATGACCTGAAAAAAAGAAAGAAAATAAATTATATTTGTCATAATTTTTTAGGCCCCAATTAAACATACATTTTGATTTAGGATATGCTTTTTTTATAAAGCGGGATAATCATATCATATCACATCATATCTCATATCTCATATATCATATCATCATATATCATATCATATCATATCATATCATATCATATCATATCATATCATATATCATATCAACTTGAAAATAATTGAAATTTCAAATAACTGAATTATGACCCGGACATGATCTTGACATATTGCATTTAGGTCAGGCCTCTAATAAGGAGCTAACGTGTTACTTGAAAAAAAGTAATCTGATTACATAACTTGCATTACCCCCAACAATGCTTAGCGATTGTAAAAAAAAAAACCCTGCAAGCCACTGATTGACACACTCATAAAACACACAGGTTGTTTATCTCACCAGCAGGATCTCGATGCAGCCCAGGATGTACATGGCTCCAGCAAAGGTGGTGCCCAAGTAGAAGCAGATACCTACAGCTCCACCGAACTCAGGGCCCAGAGAACGAGAGATCATGTAATAGGCGCCTCCAGCTGTTGATGCAAACAGAAAACCCTTTCAGGAAACTTTAATTTGAGGAAGTTATGATCTGCTGGGATATTAACGAAGCATTCTGATTTTGACAGCTCAGAAAAATAGCACAATACAACCCACAATTACAACTTCCTGTTTCTTGGAAAATATTAAGCATGCTTATAAAGTGTCTTTTAGCACTATAGAGATAATAGCAGCCTATTGCTGATGAACAACGGATGGGGAACCGAACCCGGCAATTTCACCTCACCTCGGCTCTCCTCCAATCAGGAGATGAGATCGAGTCGGTCATTAGGACAGGACACGCTCAGCCAATTATGAATACATAAATACAGCTTTGAGGATATTGTTGTCTGCTCATTGCTAGTTATTGTTGCTACGGTGACCGCTTGCTGTTGCCAAGACGACCCACATGCACATGTTAAGCTCTAGCAGGGGCTTGCTTACCTGGCACTACGCCGTTTGTGGCAATGGCACTCATGGAGATGGCAGTGAGCATCGTCTAGAAGAAAACACACCGAAGGAGAGAAAATATGTGTTGATTAGTTGAATAAGAACATTTTCAATTCATTAGAAAGAATAATAATGCCAGGATGATACATCAGTATAACAATAGCACCAAACTACTGACAAAAATTTGATTCTGATACTAGAAAATGATGCAGTGCATCATGATTTCTGAGGTTGTGCATAAAATAATGAAAAGAAAATGTTTTGACCTGAAAAGTGAAAACAAACATTCCGATTCATACGCAAATGACTCATATGAATCTTTCAAAAAGACTCACAGAAGTTAACAGTTTGAATCAGTCTGATGAATCCTTCACTGAGTGAACTACTCTGATTCAGTGAATCAACATCTGATTTACTTACTGAACTGTAGGTTTCATTACTTTGGCATAAGATCGACGGATGGATGGATGGATGATAGACAGACAGACATTCTGATTCGTGAGGAAATGTTTCCCATTAACAGGTTCTTTTAAATGAATCATTCAAAAAGACTCAAAGAAATTAAAAGTTTGAATCAGTCTGATGAATCCTTAACTGAATCAACTAACTACTCTGATTGATTCAGCGAATCAACATCTGATTCACTTGGATGGAGGGATGGATGGATGGGTGGACGGACGATAGATAGATAGATAGATAGATAGATAGATAGACAGAAAGATCTTTTAAACAGCAAAGTGGTAGACTGTAAAAGCAGGAAGGTGTTTAGTGTTGATCTATAGTTGTGTCAGATTGCCTTGATTAAAGCAATTTAGTAGAACTGAAAGTACCAGAATAAATCTGATCTCAAAACCTCTTCTGTCTCCTTAAAGGATGAAATGTCTCCTTATAGCGTTGCACTGAGCCAAAGCAATTGTAAAACATCCTGGAGATTAAAGCCATCTTTAAACCTGCACTGAGCTGTCTCCAGAAATGCAAATGCATCTATTTTGGAGGAAAGGGAACGAGCTGATGCCGTCAGACTGACGCTTCTTTAGAAAGTGACATGGAACATACAGACAGAAACAAATGAGTGTTTCAATCAATAGGGAAAGAGAGAGAGAGAAAGATTCTACTCTATATTACTAGGTGGAAGAATCGTTTTCAGACGAACCTGTTTTTTGTGTTTCTCATTATTTGCCTATAAACACCCTTTAATTCTGTTAAAATCACTATAACGCACAAGACATCTTGGGGCTGATTGCCTTGAAAATGTGTGAACACATACGTCACTGTCAGAGAGATGTGACAGACGCTTACACATGAATACAAAACTGTGCAAAGCAAAATCATTTCCGATCCACTGCGTGAATTATTTCTCCTACATAACAACTTTAAATGGAGAGCAAATAAAGACCTCTCCTCCTTCTCAGATGTTTCTCCTGAGAAAAACACCCCAGTAATCTCAGGAGAAACATCTGAGACAAAGTTGATGCTTAAATGAAACATAAATGAGCCCATATAGATAGATTGGAGTCCATGAGCAATGAACGAAATACATTCAAGTGTGTTAGTTGATTAGACTTGAATCAGTGTATAATCAGCAATTTTCTCTCTGAGATGGGTTTGATAAGACACTAACTGATGCTAAGTGTTTTATCTTGACTATAACTGAGACTCATGTGAGATCTGGTCCATTTCCACCCACACAAACACCCACACAAGTCCACTGGCAATTCAGAAACACATCACAGAACTCCATATGCTAATCACATGCTGGCTGAAGCTTCTGATTGGACGATGAAGGGCACCGGCTGCTTGAACTAGTTTCCCCAGCCAATCCCACCATCTGCCGTCAGCGGAGTGAGCCAATAATATGAGACAGATACTCTGACAGCCAACCGAAAGGTTTAAAAAACAATCGCGAATGAATAAATGGCCCATTTTCTGACAGCTTACATATTGAGTAGTTGACATTTACTGAGGGATTCATAACACAGAGTTATCATTTTATTCTGCAGTATTTTATTTTAATTTATGCTACTGAACATCTAATAAGGAGATGAAACAAGAACAAACTTCTGTGTAAATCACTAAATTCAGTTAAATGCAATAATTTACATAAGAATGTTGTACAATCAGTCTACATTTTAGTAAGATTTTCATAAAGTTTCATAAATGAGGCCCATAACGTTTAAAAAAAAATAATATTTAATAAAAAAAAAAAAATACAAAAATAAACTAATTCGATTTCACCATCAAGAATATTTTGTAACATAAATGTATTTACTGTCATTTTTGATCAATTAAATTCATCCTTGCTGAATAAAATCTTACTTTCCTCAAACTTTTGCATGGTACTGTACACAAATAAACTCAAATTATGTATTTGTTAGTAAGTATCTTAATTCAAGGTATGTGTCTCCTCACTGTTTCTCAGCAACTCAGTGCTGGCGATATTTGGCCCCCGGAGAGGAGGAATTTACATAATCAAATGACACATCAGAAATTGAACCTAATACAGCTGAGCTCAGGAAACACAAGTGTACAAATGGAGGGAAAAGTGCATTTTCCTTTTGCACAAAGATCTGAGTGTGGAAATGGAACCTCATATGGTTGTATAATCAACACTTCTCTCGTTTTGGCTGCCATGTTTGATTGCGATTGAGCAATGCATTCTGGGATTACCTTATCTTGACGGCCTTAGAATTTGGCCAATTCTCGTTTTGGTTTTGGAAGGTTTTGGAACGGAGCCACTGTTTCAGTGTTAAGTGTTAATTTGATTTCATCTACATCACTGAATACACAACAGTCAATTGATATTCATGTATTAATACATTCCCATGAATAATTCGATCATTTCACGACCGTCACGATCCATAAATAACCAAAGCACTGTCTGTCATCCGCCTGTCAGTATTTCTGTGCCTGCCGACTATTTGAAAGTGGATCAATGCTGTTGTTTGTCCTTTAATGAATCATTTCTGCATTTCTAACAGCTTCAGTCTGTCTTAAAGACGCGAGCGTCTCCATCTCTGTGATGGATGAAAGAATCAGCGTTCTCTCCTCCTCTCCATCTGTTGCCATGAGAGAACGAACTCGATGAAAAGCAAGCGACAGGCGCCTGGCAATGAGATGGTAGTTTCAGATGACATCGATAGCATCTCGCTACTTCTAATTATGATGCATATATGCGCTCATTCAGAAAGCGCAGGCGAATGTTGAGGTGTTGCTCGCGCCACCCTGAACCGCTGTCAATTTTGCTGACGGTGTGGACAGGCAGATAAATCACACACACAGTTTTCAAAGGCGTTTGCTCAGATGGACTGGAAGTCATTGAGATGCACGCAAACGTCATCTAGTCATGTTTTCATGCACATCTGCAGAAACGTCTTTGAGGCCGTTTTAACTTTGATTTGAAGGATTCTGTAAAGCCTTCATTATCTCTGAGTGTCTCTGATGGCTGTGGCTTTTCACATAATGTGCTCGAGTTTTAAATAAGAAACTTCAGGTTTTTAGATCAATGTTGCTGTCAATTTATCCGCCTGTTGCATTTTATGATTTTCAGCACTTTATATCACGTATGTTATGAATCTCACTAAACCTGTTAAGAGCAGTGCAACCCAGTATCAAAAGTGCCATTAACTAAAATTATTTAAAATATTTTGTTCATTGAAATAAAGCTGAAATAAAGCTGAAATAAAACAAAACAAACAAACAAACAAAAAAATAGACTGAAAATATAAACAAATTTTTTTAACTCGTTTAAATCGAAAGAGCAAAATTACTAACTGAATTAAAACTGAAATAAAAATAAAAAAATATTTAGAAATATAAAAAACTAAACAAGTAAAACTTACAAAAGCACATAATAAAATTACAAAAAATTTAAATGAACAAACTGAAAATATAAAAATAAAAGCTAATTTAAAATATTAATAAAAAAGATAAAGACATAAAGACTAATTTGATACTTCGAATGGTGACATTTTCATGAAAACTAAGCCATTTTTATGCTAGTATTTGTTGTACTGCATTTAATTTTTGCTTACAAAAAATTGTTTTGTGAGCCCTAAGAATAATGGAAAGAACAAAAACAGAAGTAAAACATCTGATGGTAGCCATTCACTTTTATAGTATTTTTTTTTTCCATACTGTGGAAGTCAATGACTATTTTGCTACCAACTGTCTTCAAAATATCTTTGTATATGTTCAACAGAAGAAAGAAACTCATACAGGTTTGGAATGACATGAGGTTTAAATGATGACAGAATTTAAATTTTTGGGTGAACTATCCCTTTAAATGTCATGAAAATAAAGCAATGCAGTGCAAAAAAAAAGCAAAAAAAAACTTAATAGTCCTAAAAAATCTGATCATATTGTTTTTTTTAGCTACTTTCATATTTTATGTCCTTCAAACATGTGATGCAAACATACCTGAGGCAATGAAATCCTTTAAAACAAGACTAAAAATGTCACTAGAGCAACTAGAGAGACACAGGGAAAGAAAGATGGCCTACAATGACAACTGGGTGACACTCTACAAGGTGTCCTGCGCATCGGTGTGTGTGCATGCGAAACGAAATGCTAAAACTATCAAACCTATCAAAACTGTTTATGACATTTTGAAATGATTATATTCTTCTCCACTCAAATCTAGAGAGATTTACACACATTTAGTGAGCACATTATATAAGCCCTGATCATAAATACAGCTTATTAACTGCTGTCAGCTTATTAGACATAATCAGAATACACTATGCATGTCAACGCACGCAGTGTATTCAGATAAAACAGCATGTTGACCTAAATACCAGCAGCTTTTCTATGTTTAGCGATCACCTGCAACAGGACGACATATAGACGAGGTGCTTTTAGCTGCAGTGTTTTTGTCTGAAATCATCTGGAAGGTTTTTAAATGGATGCGTCGTGTTGTTGAGATCTCTGTTTGGCTGCACTCCAGTCCATCAATTAATGACTTGTGAAGACAAAAACTGTGTGTTTGTAAGAAACAAATCCATTTATTTCAAACCATTGTTTTTGGCTAAAGCATGAGTCCATAATCCATAATAACTCCTCCAGTGAAAAAAAGTCCATCTCCTGTTGTCCTCTCACAACAAATTCCACCCACATATTTGTTCAGAACTGTTTTGGCTTGTAAACAGTGCTTGGTATATGCATAATTCTCTCCTGATACAGACCAAATGACTTTTTCACTGGACAAAGCAATATTATGGATAGAGGAAGCAACAGTTTGAAATAAAAAACATCTTAACGATGGATTTGTTTCTCTTTTGGCTTCTCCAGATGTTAACTGATGGTCTGGAGTGGTGTGGATTATTGTGATGTTTTTATCAGCTGTTTGGACTCTCATTCTGACGGCACCCATTCACTGCAGAGGATCCACTGGTGAGCAAGTGATGTAATGTTAAATTTCTCCAAATCTGTTCCCATGAAGAAACAAACTCATCTACATCTTGGATGGTCTGAGGGTGAGCAATTTGTTTAGCAAATATTTGTTTTTGGGTGGAGTATTCCTTTAAGATCTGCATGTGATTTAACCTCAATGTGGATGTGAGTTTATTGGCTATTTTAATGCATCTCACACTACGAGAGTAGTATTGTAGTATTCTATTCCAAACTCAACCAGAGCATGTGTATGTGAGAAAGAGAGATGAAGAAACAGAAAATAGTGAGATGCCTGAGCTCATGATAATAATAGCACTTACATGGGTGCTGGAGAATGTAAGGTTGCACATGCAAACATACAAATCACACTAATGAGCAAGTATGCTGAAGTGCATGTTTGCTCGGTGACGTACATATGTGCAGCAGGAGGCTTGCACACAGATGAAACACATGCATGTTAATCAGCGGGTCTTTGAGAATGAGATGGCATGCAAAATCAAAATCAATGGTAATTAGACGCTTGCATCAGCTGTGTGCATGTGGCAGAGTGATATCTTAATTGTTCAATGTATATTTTGCAATGATTTATAGAGGCTGAAAATATTCAAGCTGAAAATAATCTGTCAATTTATAGGGCGAATCTCACTAAACCTGTTAAGAACAATGCAACCCAGAATCAAAAGCAGTATTGTTATTGCTAACTAAAACTATTAAAAACATGTTGTTAATTGACATGAAGCTGAAATAAAATAAAATATAAATATTAGATTACAAACTAAAAAAATAAACAAAAACGTAAACAAACCAACATTTCAAAATAAGTTTAAGTTGAAGTACTAGACACTGAAACAAAACTAAAAAGTACTAACTAAAGCTGGGAAAAAAACTATGTAGAAATATTTTTTAAAAACAAAAAATAATAAAAATGACAGACTGGCAAATAAAATTACTAAAAATTAAAGTAAAATTTAAATAAAAACTGAAAATATAAAAATAAAAGCTAATTAAAAAACATTATGGAATAGCTAATGTTTTTCATAATAATTATAGTATGAAATAAATTTAAGTTGAAATACTAAAATTTCTAACTGAAATAAAACTAAAACTGAAATAAAAATACATTAAACTATTTAGAAATATATATATAAAAAAAAACACTAATAAAAATGACAAACTGGTACATAACAAAATTACTTAAAATAAAAATAAAATTAAAATGAAAACTATAAAAACAAAAGCTAATTCAAAATATGAATAAAAATAACTAATTACTATATTAATTATGTTTTGCATAACAAAAATTAAGCTTAATTTAAAGACCATTTAGACGTTTTAAAGTGTGCCATTTTCATTAAAGTTAAGTCCATTTTCATCTCAGATTTCTATTGCATGGTGTGTGACTGACCGTGGAGCAGCACATGAGCACGATGATGAAGGCCTCGATGACGCCGCCGATGCCCACCATCCAGGTCATCCTGAGAAACAGAATCACGCCCAGGATGTTCTGCAGGCAGGGCAGGTAGACGCCCATCAGCGTTCCCATCCGCGGTGCCTGTCGAGACACACACATACACACACACACACACACACACACACACACACACACAGCAGTCTATTAGTACAACGTCAATATCTGATTAGATCTGTTCCGTTGATCAGGTTCATGTTTTCATTTCATTGTTCAGCAAACATAACACATGCTCTGATCTCTCAACTGTAAAAGCAATAATGCAACTGTTGATGTTCTGATGAAAAGAGAGAGAAAGATAGTGAGTCCATGAAAAACCTGGAAATATCATGGAATATTAAACTTGATCTCCAAACCAGGATAATATTGATGCATAACAATGAAAACGTAAGAATTCACAGAAAAATATATATATAATATATATATATATATATATATATGTATATAGTCTGAATAGATCTTATGTTATGCTCCGTTCTAAAAGATTTAATAGGCTAGAAATGGCTCTTTTTAAGTGCTATATCAATAAAATTATTTTTAAAAATCCTTGTCCTGTAATCACAAATTATGGAAATGGAAAGGCATTGGTCAAGATGTCTGGGAACACTGTAAATCTCCTGTGCTCCAGACATGAATGCGATTGTGAGCTGTTACTTTATTCAGTCATCAGATGCTCTTGGACAATAAAAAAGTGAACCAGAGTCATACCTAAAAACCAGAATATTACAGAGATTTTTCACCTGAGATCAAGAACACCCTAACAACTGGAACACCTTAGCAACCACTCAGAACATCCTAGTAACCATACAGAACACCCTAGCAACCATCCACAACACCCTAGCAACCATTCAGAACACCCTAGCAACCAACCAGAATACCCTATCAACCACCCTGAACACCCTAGAAACTATTCAGAACACCCTAGCAACCACAAAGAACACCCTATAAACCATTCAGAACATCATAACCACTTACAATACCCTAGCAACCATTCAGAACATCCTGGCAACCAACCAGAACACCCTAGCAACCACCATGAACACCCTAGCAACTATTCAGAACACCCTAGCAACCACAAAGAACACATTATAAACTATTCAGAATCAGAACACACTAGCAACCACACAGAACACCTTATCAACCATACAGAACGCTAGCATCATGGAGATTTGCATGAGCAAACACCACTCACATTTACATCAGAAAAAGTAAATATCCAGTTACTTTTATAATATATATCATGACATGGTAGTGAGTCACATACGGTGCAGCAGAGCAGTTTAAACCCCGTGATCAACACGACTGTAAATCAGTATGAACACATGACTCTTCTCTCCGCCAATAAACATTCACTGTCATTGTGTTTGCTGTGTGTAGCGCTCATTTCAAGGGCTTTCAAAGATCAGTAAGAGCCAATGTGATATTAAGAGAGAAAGTGAGTGTGTGTGTGTGGTGTGTGTGTGGATGGTCAGTAATTACTAACACACAGTGAGTAAAGGTCTGCCAGCTGGATAAATGGTGAGTGAGTGTGTGTCCGTGTGCATGTCCATCAACGCGGCATCCAAAAACACTCAAATACGTCCCGTCCCCGTTCAAGGACATCGTAAATAAAATGCAATTATCCCAGCGACCAAAAAAGCACGCAGTGTATTCAGATAAAACAGCATGTTGACCTAAATACCAGCAGCTTTTCTATGTTTAGCGATCACCTGCAACAGGACGACATATAGACGAGGTGCTTTTAGCTGCAGTGTTTTTGTCTGAAATCATCTGGAAGGTTTTTAAATGGATGCGTCGTGTTGTTGAGATCTCTGTTTGGCTGCACTCCAGTCCATCAATTAATGACTTGTGAAGACAAAAACTGTGTGTTTGTAAGAAACAAATCCATTTATTTCAAACCATTGTTTTTGGCTAAAGCATGAGTCCATAATCCATAATAACTCCTCCAGTGAAAAAAAGTCCATCTCCTGTTGTCCTCTCACAACAAATTCCACCCACATATTTGTTCAGAACTGTTTTGGCTTGTAAACAGTGCTTGGTATATGCATAATTCTCTCCTGATACAGACCAAATGACTTTTTCACTGGACAAAGCAATATTATGGATAGAGGAAGCAACAGTTTGAAATAAAAAACATCTTAACGATGGATTTGTTTCTCTTTTGGCTTCTCCAGATGTTAACTGATGGTCTGGAGTGGTGTGGATTATTGTGATGTTTTTATCAGCTGTTTGGACTCTCATTCTGACGGCACCCATTCACTGCAGAGGATCCACTGGTGAGCAAGTGATGTAATGTTAAATTTCTCCAAATCTGTTCCCATGAAGAAACAAACTCATCTACATCTTGGATGGTCTGAGGGTGAGCAATTTTTTTAGCAAATATTTGTTTTTGGGTGGAGTATTCCTTTAAGATCTGCATGTGATTTAACCTCAATGTGGATGTGAGTTTATTGGCTATTTTAATGCATCTCACACTACGAGAGTAGTATTGTAGTATTCTATTCCAAACTCAACCAGAGCATGTGTATGTGAGAAAGAGAGATGAAGAAACAGAAAATAGTGAGATGCCTGAGCTCATGATAATAATAGCACTTACATGGGTGCTGGAGAATGTAAGGTTGCACATGCAAACATACAAATCACACTAATGAGCAAGTATGCTGAAGTGCATGTTTGCTCGGTGACGTACATATGTGCAGCAGGAGGCTTGCACACAGATGAAACACATGCATGTTAATCAGCGGGTCTTTGAGAATGAGATGGCATGCAAAATCAAAATCAATGGTAATTAGACGCTTGCATCAGCTGTGTGCATGTGGCAGAGTGATATCTTAATTGTTCAATGTATATTTTGCAATGATTTATAGAGGCTGAAAATATTCAAGCTGAAAATAATCTGTCAATTTATAGGGCGAATCTCACTAAACCTGTTAAGAACAATGCAACCCAGAATCAAAAGCAGTATTGTTATTGCTAACTAAAACTATTAAAAACATGTTGTTAATTGACATGAAGCTGAAATAAAATAAAATATAAATATTAGATTACAAACTAAAAAAATAAACAAAAACGTAAACAAACCAACATTTCAAAATAAGTTTAAGTTGAAGTACTAGACACTGAAACAAAACTAAAAAGTACTAACTAAAGCTGGGAAAAAAACTATGTAGAAATATTTTTTAAAAACAAAAAATAATAAAAATGACAGACTGGCAAATAAAATTACTAAAAATTAAAGTAAAATTTAAATAAAAACTGAAAATATAAAAATAAAAGCTAATTAAAAAACATTATGGAATAGCTAATGTTTTTCATAATAATTATAGTATGAAATAAATTTAAGTTGAAATACTAAAATTTCTAACTGAAATAAAACTAAAACTGAAATAAAAATACATTAAACTATTTAGAAATATATATATAAAAAAAAACACTAATAAAAATGACAAACTGGTACATAACAAAATTACTTAAAATAAAAATAAAATTAAAATGAAAACTATAAAAACAAAAGCTAATTCAAAATATGAATAAAAATAACTAATTACTATATTAATTATGTTTTGCATAACAAAAATTAAGCTTAATTTAAAGACCATTTAGACGTTTTAAAGTGTGCCATTTTCATTAAAGTTAAGTCCATTTTCATCTCAGATTTCTATTGCATGGGGTGTGACTGACCGTGGAGCAGCACATGAGCACGATGATGAAGGCCTCGATGACGCCGCCGATGCCCACCATCCAGGTCATCCTGAGAAACAGAATCACGCCCAGGATGTTCTGCAGGCAAGGCAGGTAGACACCCATCAGCGTTCCCATCCGCGGAGCCTGTCGAGACACACACACACACACACAGCAGTCTGTCAGTACAACGTCAATATCTGATTAGATCTGTTCCGTTGATCAGGTTCATGTTTTCATTTCATTGTTCAGCAAACATAACACATGCTCTGATCTCTCAACTGTAAAAGCAATAATGCAACTGTTGATGTTCTGATGAAAAGAGAGAGAAAGATAGTGAGTCCATGAAAAACCTGGAAATATCATGGAATATTAAACTTGATCTCCAAACCAGGATAATATTGATGCATAACAATGAAAACGTAAGAATTCACAGAAATATATATTTAATATATATATATATATATATATGTATATAGTCTGAATAGATCTTATGTTATGCTCCGTTCTAAAAGATTTAATAGGCTAGAAATGGCTCTTTTTAAGTGCTATATCAATAAAATTATTTTTAAAAATCCTTGTCCTGTAATCACAAATTATGGAAATGGAAAGGCATTGGTCAAGATGTCTGGGAACACTGTAAATCTCCTGTGCTCCAGACATGAATGCGATTGTGAGCTGTTACTTTATTCAGTCATCAGATGCTCTTGGACAATAAAAAAGTGAACCAGAGTCATACCTAAAAACCAGAATATTACAGAGATTTTTCACCTGAGATCAAGAACACCCTAACAACTGGAACACCTTAGCAACCACTCAGAACATCCTAGTAACCATACAGAACACCCTAGCAACCATCCACAACACCCTAGCAACCATTCAGAACACCCTAGCAACCAACCAGAATACCCTATCAACCACCCTGAACACCCTAGAAACTATTCAGAACACCCTAGCAACCACAAAGAACACCCTATAAACCATTCAGAACATCATAACCACTTACAATACCCTAGCAACCATTCAGAACATCCTGGCAACCAACCAGAACACCCTAGCAACCACCATGAACACCCTAGCAACTATTCAGAACACCCTAGCAACCACAAAGAACACATTATAAACTATTCAGAATCAGAACACCACACAGAACACCCAGAACACCTTATCAACCATACAGAACGCTAGCATCATGGAGATTTGCATGAGCAAACACTTACATCAGATGCTGGACAGATCCACAGCAGATGACAACACTATAAGGTACAGGACGACCACACACACACACACACAATCTCAAGGGCTTGTGAAAGCACTTTTCAATTCACACAGTTGATTAAATGTGATTTAATGGGCATCTGAGTGAATCCCTCGTGACTCAAACATGCACTGAATAACTGAGC